TCTGGTGTACTATTTGAGGTGGTAAATGTTTGTTTTCTGTTTTGCAGTCTTTTTCTGTGCCAAGAATACACTAATTGATAAGAGCATAAACAGATCTCTCTATCTGCTGCCAAAAAGAAAAGTTGCTCTTGAAACATGATACCTTAGTGGTAAGGGCAGGTTCTTTGCACCCAGACCAAATGCCCTCTATGTTAATCTAGCCTTCTTACTTCAAGAGAACTTTGCTACACACCTGCTTCATTAACATAACCAGATGACTTTATCCCTGGGCTTGCTTAAGAGTGCTAGAAGTAGGTCTTATTTCTCTACTATTTTGCAGCTAAAGTTTTTCCTGAACATATGCTATATCTTTTTAAGTCAGACAAGAACTGAGAGGGTATCATTATTAATAATGAAAAGCTTAAATACCAGTTGACATTTTTGTGACAGTTTTGTTCTACACAAAGCACTTCTCTAGGCATCCTTCATTTGAGAGCATACAGGAGGGCAAAGGAGTGCAGTAGAAAGACAAGTGGGTGTGGAAACAGAAGCCCAAATTTTGGAAGTTTAGGTCCACCTATTTACTATTTCCTGACTGGATGGTGAGGGTGGGGTGTTATGTCTAGCCCATGGTGTCCTCGTGCAATATGGGAAAGGGTGCCCACATGATGCAAGTAGACAGCTTGGCAAGCAAATAGCAGCACTGAACAAATTTGAAAAGAGTGCCCATTTGTTCTTGGGCCAGTGCCAAAGCAATGGAGTGGTAAGTCAGAGAGGCAGGATGTCAGACTCCACTTGCTCTCCTTACACAACTTAACATGGTCTCTTTGACTGTGACTGAACACTGGGCAAGCAATGTTCAAGCATCAGGGAAGGTGGTATGAATTTAACATAGAGTAGCTCCCCTGCTGCCCATTAATTCACTCTGAGGCATCCTCCCTGCACACACTTAAACTAAGTTGTAGAGAGAGTGAGCACTTGGTTAGGGTCACTTAACTAATAAGTGGTAGAGACAGAATGGGAATTCTGATCTATGTAACTTCCACAGATCATGGTCCCAATCACATTACTAAGATGAGCAAATTTTCTTCTTCCTGGCTTTTCCTGAAGTTGTTTTATAATTAAATTTAAGTACATGGAAAGGCTTTGTACATTTTAAAACACCATAGAACATATCCAAACTTTACAATTTTGTTGTTTAGTAAAAATCAGTGATCAAAATAATGGCTAAGATGATTTTTATTTTTTATTATTTTGGTAATGGGCATCGAGAACCCAGGACTACTTCACCAGAGCTACATCCAGTCCTTTTTGTTTTTTATTTTGAGACAGAGTCTTCATAAGTTTCTGAGGGTCTTGCTAAATTGCTGAAGTGCATTGACCTTGTGATTCTCCTGCCTCACCCTCCTGAGTCACTGGGATTACAGGTGTGCTCTACTGTGCTCAGCCTAAGATAATTTTTAAAGACTTGGGTATTAAAATTTTCAGACCAGAGAGTACAATGGGACTGATAATTAGCATGTAGACTGGTTATTAAGTAGCATACAGAATTCATGTATGCAAACGGAAGTTTAAAAAGGAAACATAATAAGATACACATTATCACGGATCATATGTATGTATATATATATGGCATGAAGCCTAACTGTTATGAACTATGGAAATTAATAAGTTAAATAAAATAATCATACGCCAATTTACTTTTCTTTTCCTTAAGGAAATCTTGAGGGATCTGGTCACTGGTTTATTTCATGCACGGCTTTTCTCTTGTGAACAGTAATCCAGGAGCAAAAAGGAGAGAGGCCCAGAGTGGAGAGATAAGAACACAAAACACACAACCTTCTCTGTGGCACTTATGCTTCTGGCCCACTAGAGGTTTGACTAGCTGGACGATCCAGGAAAATAACAGGTTAACTTCTTTTAAACAGATAGATTGATTTCTATTTTTGCTTGGTTTTTTTGGGGGGGGATGTTCTGATAAGAATGACATATCTGTGGGGATAGGAGTGTGGAACTTAAGACTTGAATTTGGTACAAAATCGAACAAAGCTTCAGTTATAAAATGTGTTATTATTCCTTATTATTACTTTTAAATTTAATACACATAAAAACCACTGTGCCTTGAAAATTTAGTTCTCATTTTTGCTTTCATAGTCTGTAGGGCTTGATTCTTTAAACCTGGAAGTATTTATAATTCCTTTTAATTATCTAAAATAGAATCAAATTATATCTGGTCTTTAAAAATGTAGCAAAGAAACTCAATCTGCCATTTCCAGGATAACACACAAAATCCAGGGCAGAGAATTATATCACTGTTTCTTTAACCATTGGCATAGCTGTGTTTGGGACACCATTTTGTCTAAGCAAAGACAGAACTTAATCCTATTTGAAAACTGACTTATTAAAAACAAAACACATTATGTGATGTGTGAAATAATAAAAGCATACCCCCTCCCAAAAGAAACCTAAAAATTTGAAAAAAAATTGACTTTTGCCTGATAAGTCATACTATATATAACATATGCTCAAAAATGAAGAAGGTATTATTAGAGTATTCAGTATTCTTGCTAAAAATGCAGTCCAATGAGGTTGCCACTGGCCATGTGGCTATCTTAAATGAATCAAAAACAAAAAATTATCTTCCTCAGTTGCATGATTTACATTTTAAGTGCTCAAGAATCATGTATGACTAGAGATTACTTATTTGGACAGCACAGGTGTAGTACATTTCCATCATCATTAAGTTCTATTGGGTAGCATTATCTTAGAATAGTCAGTGTTCTTTGAGAATAGTATCAGCTTTTAATTTTTTTTTTCAATTTCAGTTTTTTTGTTTTTTTTTTTTTTCCGGGGGTTTATTTTTATTGAGGCTTGGGTTGGGGGAACCGGCTTGGGGGGCCTTTTCTTCCGGATGGCTTATACTGAATATCTTTCTGTCTACTACCTGTGTGCTTGACTCTGGTGACAAGAGGAGGAAGGTGTGTATCTTGCCTTCAAGGAACTTACAGTATCAAGTAGCTATCCATTAAAAGAAAAGTTTTTTTGTAGTAGACAACACATTTTCAAAACCACTTTAGTATTTAAGAAATACTGGATCCTTAAAAACATTTTTCATACTTTGTTTTCTTTAAAAGGATGACTATCATCTATAGAAAATCCATTCCTCTGAATCTCTCCATTTTTTAACCTGAATCATCAGGTTAAAAATTCTTTCAGCACTTCCACAAATGCTAATTCATTCTAAGCATTTATTCTTTTAAAAACTTTTGACTGTGTTTCTCTTCATGTCATGTAAGAGAATGACTATCTGTCATGCTTTAGAACAAGTTCAGGTAATACTAATTAGAAATTTTAATCCCCACTGAATGTTCCCATTCTTAAGAAATTACTTGAATTTATAGATAGCATGTACTATAAATATTAGTATATGTATATTCCTTAAGTAGCATATATGTATTAAATGTACCTGATTCTAATCTAGACCCAATCTAATCTGGACCAAACTTGGAAGTCTGTAGCAATTTTCCACTGTGGGTTTGTTTTCTTCTTCACAGGGTGACACATTTCTAAAATAAGTGGGATACAGTTAAAACTCTTAAAAATACAGAACTAGATTTCATCCCCAGTGCTTCTATTTAGTAAGTTAATCTTAGATAATTACTTGACTTCTCTGAATTTTAGTCCCTTTCCCTGTAAAGTAGGAGTAAAACGACTGAGTTTATAATGCTATATTTTCTTTTTAAACTTTTCATATATAAAGGCAGTTACCAGTGCCTCATGAATGCTGGATTTCTCCAATTATTAGTTTCTATCTACCTAGCTATAAAACATCTTTAACATTCATGGTTGGTAGTGACCATATCTTATACAAAACTTTTGGCATGACATTTTTTATCCCTTGTAGAATGAATATAACGGTGATAGTAACTGAAATTCATCAAGGGCTCGCTGTGTAAAAAGGACTATTTCTGAAATAAGAGCACTTCACATAAATATTTATTATTTTTAATAGTAATTCTATAAAGCAAGGAGGGTTTCCTCTGTTTTATCCAAGAAAAAAGCACACAGGGATTAAGTGACTTGTCCAAGCCATCCTTCAAATACTAAGTTTGTCTAGCTCCTTTGTCTACACTCTGAACCTGCAACAAACCCTGTTAGATACATTCTAAAACTCAGTGAATTAATAAATATGAATTTTACAGGATGTGAATTAAATCTCCACTAAAGCTCTAATTTAAAACAATGGCTGAATTTGCAGTGATTAGGAAATAAATACAAAGTAAAAAGATTAGCTCTGATATTTTTGTCTATAGCATCAGATTTCATGAGCTTGGTTTCCCCTCCCTCTCACATTATTTAAGGAAATCTCTGTCAAATAACTACTCTCAAAACCAGTCTACTATCAATGTCTACTAAGAAAAACTTCTATGATTCTAAGCATCAGACATCCTAAAATAAGATTTGTTTTGCCGTTCTTACTAGGTCAAAGAATAAGACACCAAAACACCTCAGACTCCAATAATTATCTTAAAACTTATTTTTTAAACTTGTTATGGCCTAAGCAATATTAAAAATTCAGGAAGAATATTGAAATACACTGGTAAAAAACTGAATGAACTGAAAGAGTCTGGAAATAATAATTCCAAAAATAAAATGTGAACTTATTTTCTTGAAAATACTCTACATGCTTCACATGCCTTTCATTATTATTTCATCTCACCTTATCCCTTTTGACTTAGAAAACTTTCTTGGGATTTGAAAAGTTTGATACATTTGATTAAAAACTAAAAGAATCACCAGAATATTGCACATCTGTAGTGTGTGTGTCGAGGTGGGGAGGAGAACAGTTGTTAAATTAAATGGAACTTTATGCCACAGATACTGAAAATCACAAATGCTGAGGAACTTGGATCCCAGCTTAAAATACAACAAAGAGAAGCTCAGGTACTGTTTCATTCAATCCAATAATTCCCTGTTTCTGCCTGCAAATACTGACAGAAAAACGGAGTCATCATTATTACCTTCATCCATGCCATTAAGCAATTCGGTTAAATCTTCGTTTTTACTGTCAAATTGATGTTCCTTCCATGTTTCACCATTTTCACTTCGAAGAACAATGAGTTCTCTCTCTTTGCCCCTCATGGACCCAAAGTGAGGAATTTCCACTATGACAGGGCTGGAAAAAAAATCCACATTATTTTGGTATCAAATTAAATATATTTATAGTATCATACTCAAAAATGTTTCATCAACAATGTTTGATTGAAAATCAGAGGTGCCACTCAGGTTGGGAATGAGTTCAAAGCTGCAGAATCATTTGCTTGTTCAATAATAATATATTAGAAGCCTCATAACATGCCATCATTCATTCACTCACAAACAATTCTTGAAGGCCTACCATATGTTAGGCATTAAACTTAATAGGGGAAAATATTCAGCACCATATACATAGGAAATTTGAATCAAGGAATTTAAAGATTAAAATAGGCCATAAGAAAGAAAGTTGTTCCATTTTTTTTTAAACACAAGAAGGTATATTATACAAAATGCTAGCGATTTAAAAGGACACAGTCATTTCTTTAAAAAAGAAGTTCTGTCAATTTCCTAATTTGAGAGATCACCACTATATTTTTCCCTTAGCAATAAAACAATCCATAGAGCAATCTACTTGCTCCAGCAGTCAGTTTCCAAGACCCTCATGGTCTGTGTAGTTTCTCATATTTTGAATTTGTGAATAGGGAGTGGGAAGCTTCATTTCCTGGCTCTAACATAAACTGTATAGGAATACTGCAAACTTCCTGGAAAAGCACTTGTTGGTTTGAAATTGTCACATAAGGACTTAATAATTTTTGACAGTGTCCTTTTGCAAAGGGATGTAAAAAGAATGGCTGCAAATTGAAGATAGCCAATCAAGCCATGGGAAATAATTTTGTTAAATTTTAAAATGGGATAAATACTAAAAAAGATGGATGGAAATAAGCAGACCACAATCACACACAGTTTATGTAGTTGGATTGTGCAGCTTTATTTTATGACATTTAAGTAGACAGTATCATTATTCTCCTACAGAGGTTGTATGTAACCTCGTCTCTTAACCTATGTGTTCATGTCCATGTAATAATAGGAGATATGGTTTTAAATAAGGAGAGAATAAAAAGGGATAGTAGTTGAAAAGATCAAATAATGAAAATATGAATATTTGATTTGTTTTTATAGAAATATTCATTTAAAATGGGGATAATTATAATTTTACTTTTAGCAAAATAGTCATAATTCAATTAAGATTTTAAATATAATTTATTAATATTAGCCTCTATTCTTTAATAGGCAGAAACGAAAACAACTATTCCTAACAGTGCTAATAATTTCAAGAACTATTAAGATATTTACCACAATTTTTAATATCTTACTATTGCACATTAAATTTTATTTGTTTATTCTTTTGAGAACAAGATACAATCTTTGCAGGTTAATGTGTCAGATACTGTCTCTGTCAATATTGAAGGAATGTGGCTTTGCGTTTGACATTCAACAGTACTGGAGAGAAGGTATGAACAGGGCCTTTGACCAAGGTGAAAGCCAAGCATAACTTTTCATAACAGGTCTCTTCATGCAGACTGCCAAGGCAAATACAACAACCAGACAAGCGAAACAAACAACAAACATCAACACATTTCAGCTTAAACAAGACAAAACAAAACAATTCAACAACAGAATATTGTTTGCTACCTAATTCTATGTCTTTAAATATCATGTATTCCCAATACTTCTCAAAATCATTTTACTTATTGATGAGTTTTTCTTTTCTAAGCCCATAAAGATTATAGAGTACTCGTAAGTACTTTTTAAAAAAAGAAATAAAGATCTAATTATACACATAGAGACAAATATACACACATACATATATATCATTGATAGCAAATGTTGATTCAAAGCCTGCAAATACCTTCTCTTACACTGGGCTAAACTTTTGAAGACTGTGAGTCTAGCTTAAAAAGCATATTCAGAAGAAACATTTCAAATTAAAGAAAGGTTTATAGAAGCACAAGGTTATGAAAGCAGAATGCTTGCAGTGAATTCCACATGCTTGAAAAGCACAAGATAGGTAGCGGTGCTACATTAAGTCAAGCCACTATGATTTTTTTTTTCTTTCAGTGACACACATCAACTGAAAGCATTAAAAAACTTAAAAAATAAAAATAAACTTAAGACAAGAATAAGACCATGAGTGTGACAGAAAAAAATTGAAAATGGAAAAAATAATTGTAGACATTCTGTATCTTGTCTATAAAGATCCTACCCAATAAATTTTGTTCCTTGAGGCCCAAGCTGCAGGATTCGGCTAACCAAGCTCTCACCCTCATTTACAGGGGGAGGATTGGTAGGAAGATGCAGTTTACTGAATAACATCCATGCAGCAGGAAGAGAAACGAGAAGGGGAAATTATGAACAAACTGTCAGTCACGACAGAGCCTGCCTGATTTGCACCCAAGTGCCACCTCAGAGAACGAATTCAATTTATTTTTCCTTTTTATAAAGTACCATATCACAATGGACTGTGTCCCTAAAAATTATCTTTAAAAAGACATCCCCAGAGTAGACACTTATTTAAGGAAGTGATAGAATTCCAGCATCTGTATGTTTTTCTAGGAATCGTGCCTTGACTTGCACGGGGGGCCGATGGGGTTCCGTGCACTCGCTGAGCAGAGAACATGCTTCTCGGTTAGTAAAAGCCTTGACCAGCAAACTGAGTTAAGAAAGTACCAGCCTAATAGCCTCTCACAGAATCACACAGCTTTGTGACCTTTGACACTACACAAAAAGTATCCTCAATCAGGTCCAACTAAGTCATTTTAATAGTTAACTCCTTAAGTTAACAAGGGTAAAGAAAATTAAAAATGTGGTAAGAGGGCTAAGATTAAAATCAGCAAAACTTACCCTAAAAATTGTGCCCCTGCAGGACCCATTTCTACCAGCCTACTGGCTAATCCCTCTCCTTCCACCATGGGGGGTGGGTTGGCCAGTTTATGTCTCTTTACCAAACGGCAGGTGATTCGGGTGGGGGCTGTACACTTGCGTGGAGGAATGATGATTCTCATCCCGTGGTGCCGACTTCCTCTCATGGAACCACCTCTTGCATCCACCATAAAGCTAACCAGAAACCTGTAGGAAGAAGACCAGAGGACAGACTTGAATCATCTCCAGAGTGGGTTTTCAAATTAAAGGTTACAGTTCAAAGTGACAGACAATGTAGCTATTGATTTCTCTCAAGATAAATTGGAAGCAAATACAGTGGAGTCACATCAAACATGCATTAAACTTGTGCACTGGGCAAAAAGCTGAAATATAACTTACATTTGGTGGAACATGGCCTCCCAGAAACTGACCACTTTCTGAGATGCTCTCATTGAGGGAATAGAGAATCTCTCAAAGTTGGGATAAAAACTAGCTATTAAAAATGCAGCCATGATTAAAAAAAAAAAAAAACCAACACTGTCTGTGATCTTTGTGGGTAGTTTAACGTACATTCAAGGTTATTTTAAACTATAAGTGGTTTCTGCCATATGTTAACTATTTAATCTCTCTCCCCACTACAAGGAAGATGAAACTCCACAGTATATCTAACATGTACAACTCATAAAGTACAGGAATATTTAACCATACCAACACTCTAGTTTTTACTAAGATGAAACAGAATATAAAAATAAAAGCAGATGACTAGATTTGCTAAGACAATTTTGATGGAAAGGGATTAAATAATTCTAGTATAAAAATGGAATTATAAAATAATCTATGTAAAATAATCTATATTTAGACATTGTATGCAGTAATACAAAAAGTAGAATATAGTCTTTTAAGAAAATGCCTCTAAATTATATAATTCTGTCATTTGGTCTTTAAAGTTAGTAAGGAAAATATTTATTTATGTAAGTATGGCAATATAAAGAAACTGTGTCAGATATGAATAAGAGTATATTGGAATCCCTGATTCCTATCATGTATGAGCCCATCTATTGTTGTTCCAGAGTTCTACTCTGATGAACATAATTCAGTAAGTCCATCATATGGAACAGTGCATATCAGACAGGGGAACACAAATATATACTTCTTGCATTCTAACTTTCATATGGGAAATATACTTATTACTAGAACAGCACCAAATATTGATAATGAGAAAGCTGTCTGAATTCTTACAGCTTTTTTGGAGAAAAAAATAATCCCATCCATCAAAATTCTTTATGACATTTTCATCTAAACACAGTGCTAACATCCTGCAAATAGAGCTTAACTCCTTATGGGCTCTTTTCTGAAGAAGGTTGGCTCTTGACCTTGGAAAGGATGACCTACCTCTTCAACAAAACAAATTAGCCTATAATCCCCATAGAGAGAAGAGCAACAGGATGGGGATCATTTTTCAACCAAGCAGATTTCCAGAACCAACTCTGCTCATCTTTAGGTGGATGTACCTTCATATCCTTTTTGCTTATTTATGGATTTAATTATTTCACTCTGAATTAACTGTATGTTTGATAATAGTCTGTTTTCAGAGACCGGGACCACTGATATTCAAGGGAAGAGGGGAAAAGACTCCTCTCCATTCAAAAGAAAAGATATTTTTTCACTTGTTCAAGTGCCTACAAGAATTATTTCCAATGCTAAATGATATGAGGCTCACTGGAAATTGCTCCAGGGTGCTTTCTTTTTCCTAGACACACACAATAATATGTATGTATATGTATAATACATATATGAAACTATTTTTTATTCAATAATTAATGTAATATGACAACAGTATAAAGAAGTCTATGACAAAAGTCTGATTTTTATCTGCTTAGTAGTAGAATATTTTCATTGGAACCAATAGAAACAAAATGGATTAAAAATGGTTCAAGACAAAAAAGTTCAAAATAAAAAGATGCAAGACAAACTTTGAGTTTGAAAATTCAGTTGTATTAGTACAAATCTCCATAGAATTTCCACTGAGAGGAGAATGTTTGTTGCTCTAGTAACAGCTGAGTCTCAACAATATAGACAAGTGATTCAGATCAGGGCTATCTTGTTCCCTGCTTGACTTGTAGAGCTGTGCATAGTTCTAGCACACAGTAAACACATATGTTTATAGAATATTTATTTTGCAAGTGCAAAACTATTTTGTTATGTGTGCCTAGAAACTGCCTAGTTGTGACTTGGTTATTAACATTAATGGATGGATAGATGTGGATCTATAGTGATTGCAGCTGAGCACTCTGAAGGTACAGTAAGGGTATCAAGTTTAGTTTAAAAACATCAACTAGGTACAAAGAATATCGGAATCAAATGGACAAAATATGGCTAAAATGATTTTAATGAGAAACTAGAAGAATCTCTCTCTCTGTGTTCTCCGAAGCACACAGTGCTTGGTTGCTACTCTTAATAATCATTTCCTGTTCTAAGGTTTTTAACTTCATAGGCCAACAGACTGAAGAAAGGTAAGAATATGTGTTAGGCAGAATATAGATCACTAACATTGTGATTTGTTTTCCAAACTCATTCCTTAAATAATGTGCTGAAAAAGTCATGCAACATAATTTATACCAACAAAGAAAAACAAATTAATGTGATGTTTAATAATATTTGTATCTTAATAACATTTAAACTATAGCATGAATTCTACACATGATCCTAAAACTAACATGAATGTTTCTAGTTCTGAGAACAGCAGGATGACAGATGCTGATACACTACAGAGACTGACACAATCTAACTGTGAGAAAAATTCACATATATTAAAAATACAGAAAGGATGGTTCACATAAAGGACACAATTATCACCTTGAATCATACTGAGGAAGTGGAGAAGAATAGCTGCAAAATAATTTAGAAAGCAAATGGGGAAATTAATTTGAGATAATTAGAAGCAAGCAACAGAAAATGTCAATGACAAGCAAAGAAAAACAAAAATCATCAGGAAATGAAACCATGGCATTCGGCATTTGTGGGACAACCTGGAAAAGTATTTTGCCTTAAATGGCTGAATAAATTACTCTACAGACCTGGCAATAGTGAAATATTTTCAAGTGTACAACATCTCTCTTTCCTCCTATTCAAGTAAGTCCACACTGTTATTTTACTTTATTGTACAAGTCTTCTGTCCTCAATGAAATTTCAAGGGAAAGAGGAAATAATCTGCATATTCAAATTCTTCATCATCTCCAATGTATGGGAAAGTTCACTTCTGATTTTTTCATATTTCCTCAACTTCTCAGTTTACTAAATTAAACTTTAGAATATTTCTTTTGTATGTGGAGATTGCAAAGTGATGATAGCTCTATGGTGGCAATTCATCAACCCCGATTAAAAAAAAAATGGACATGTCTACTGCAGGTATGGCAAGAGCTTCATATTTTATTTCTCAAATCTGATTTTTCTTGTGGGGTTTTTTACAATTTTGGGCCCACCTACCATACATCTAATATAAACCATATGAATATTTTAGGAAGTTTAAAATTAATATTACCATAATAATTCAAAATTTTTCTGAATTATAATAATTCAAAATACAATGTTAATGATTCAAATATCACATGGAATTTGTAGTTTTAAAAACAATTTCACATAAATTACTTTTATTCAAATGACATTGCATGGATTCCTTTCTCAGAATTACAAAAGACAAAATTCTAAATTGATATTTTAACCTATCATATATTTCTTTCCCTCTGACTTATCATCTACAAAATGGAGACAATGAATAAATCTTTAGTGTCATCTAAAGGTTCAAGTAAGAATTAAATTAGATAATACATGTAAAAGACTTAGTTTAAGGCCAGGTACATAAAAAGAGCTAGGTAAATTTTAGCTGTTAAAAGTTATTTTAACTAGAAGCAGCAGAAAATACTTTGCTTCCAGTAACTTATTTAATTCTAAATCATCTCTTGTCTTTGATCACAACAAAAAGTCTCACTGCCAGTCTTAAAGACAAAAATACTATGAAATAGTCACGATTTTAACAAATTAATTTTACTCTATTTATATCAATGGCAATCATTCCATTTGAATTACCTACTGGTAAAGAACCCAAAATCTAAAAATGCTCTTATTTATTGATTCACTTATCAAAGCAGGTCACCTATTAGCCTCCTGCCTTAAATTCTACCTGCCAGAGAGACAGCAATGAGGGATTTCTTTGATGTGGTTTTTATTCAGCATTTCTGGTACACAGATATTTCTTTGTTCACTTTCTAAAAGTGAATTTCTTTACTATCTTTTAAAATTAATTTTCAATTAATAATTTTATATATTTCAATTACATTTTTGCTTCAAGAATGTAAAAGGAAAATTTTACAATTGGAAACTTTCAAGCTTACACTTTTTAAAGGAAAATCACTTGTCAATCAATGTCAAAATCATTCGTCAAGTAAAAGGTCTGTATTACACATAGACACACATACACAGATGAGACTACCAGAGCGCAAAACAATTAATGTTTGATTGAAATTCCTTTTTTTTTTTTTTTTCCAGCACTGGGGATTGAACTCTTGAGTCTCACATATGCAGGCACTCTATCACTGAGCTACATCCCCAGCTCCTTTTATTTTTATATTTTGAAACAGGATCTGGCTAAGTTGCCCAGGCTAGCCTCCAACTTGTGATTCTCTTGACTCAGTCTCCTGAGTACTTGGGATTACAGGCATGTGCCAAAGTGCCTATCTGAAATTCTTCTATCATTAGATGCAAAGCACAAACACAATCAGATAAATTAACATAAATACTCAGAATTTAATTTTTATTTAAAAGAATACCTAGGGAAAAATTCATTTGGCTAGTAAAATAAAATGAAGAAGAATGATTGTTAAAATTATGTTTATTGAAAAGGAAAATTAAAGATGTAAAAGAACTTTTGCTGCACCAATCATCTAATTAATTTAATGTAATATTTTTCTAACACTGTACTTTAAACAATAAAAATAGATATACATATTTGCTAAAAATTATTAAATGATTTATAATTGCATGTCACATATACTGAGTATACATTTTATATATGAATATATTCATGTATATGAAAGTTGTCAGGGTTAATTTATAATTTTAAATAATAAATGCAATGTTATTTTGATAGGAGAAAGAAAAATGACATTTAGGTTCCTTACCCAGAATGAACAGGACTTGAGACAAGATTTACATTGTCCAAGGTGTCAGCAGCCCAGCTGTAATGTCTAAGAGAATCTGAATCAAATTCCCTTGTGAATGTTAGATGCTGAAAAATAAAACAATATAGTCTATCAGTGTCACACATAACATCCCATAAAGACAGAAAAGACATTGGTGTTTTGTACACAAGTATATCTGTATTTCTTTATAAATGTGGATAGACTAACATTCAAAATAAGAATTTGTGAATTTTCTCATATAGGTAGATATATAGTCTGAGTGCAAGAACATTAAAAAGTAAAGTCTACTGATACACTATATTATTTCAATATTTCAAGAGAGTACCTGAGTAATGTGCATGGTAAAAGGAGTGTCATGGAACTAATAGCAATGATTTTACGTACTTTAACTCAGGTTCAGATTAATCCTATATCAACTGTAAAATCTTTTCCCCATTCTCAAAAATAAAAAATTTCAATCTTGATGACTTTTAATTCCAAGTGGGACAGAGCTGCTAGCAGCCATTCTGTGCTTCCCTAAGTAAACCAGGTAAATATAGAAGTCTGAAGGCAGTAAAGGGCAGCCGAGGCACTGAGAACTAAAGGAACTATACTCTGAGAAGGTGAAACTTCTCAGAGGAACTATACTCATGAAAAGTTGAGCTGAGATTTTGTTATTTTTAAGTTGACACTTGTCAGTTACTAGCACAGGAAGAACTTGGGCTTTGTTTCATAGGGAACACTGCTGAGGAGTGGAAAAACCAGAGAGGAGTTGGTAAAGATATGGGTTGCTTCAAGCACGCTACAGTTTTCCATTAGATATTTGTGGAATTCTGGGGCCACACAGAACAGAAAGCTGAAAATCTAACCAGAAAAATCCCTATAAAGTATAATGGAACTTTTCAGCAGTTTCATAAGAAAATGATTAAAGTGTTTAGAACTTGCTAATGGGAAGTGGACTTGAAGATCATACCAGAATTTCAAGCAAGTACTCTGCAGGGACAGGACAAACCAGAAGTAGTAGGAACTTTTCCAGGATTGCAAACCAGCCTCATTTCACCAAAATCTTGATTGGATTAAATGGTCATCTGCTTCTCTGTTGTCCTAGTTGGGGGAGGGTGAACCATCTCTGGAGGAATATATCACCATTGGGTGTGTCCACAATTTTTCAAACACAAATCCAGCATAAAATGAAAATTTTCCAAGTATGGCCAGAGCACATGAACAAAAACAAAAACAAAACAAGCCCAGATAGACACTATGAAGACTCAAAGGTCATCTAGATTTTGAGGTAAGCTAACAAGAACTTTATCTCTGACTCCCATATTTAACAAAACGGGAGGAATGCGTAGAAGAATGAAACTAGATCCTTGTCTCAGCCTGCACAAACATCAATTCAAAATAGATCAAAGAGCTAGGAAGAAGAAAACAGGGTCAACACGCCAACATACAGGTAGCAACCTCCTTAATTTGGTCAATTTGGTCAATTTCACTAATAAACTCCTAAATAAAACTCCTAAAGCACAAGAAACAATTAAGTGGGATGGCATCAAATTAAATAGCAAAGGGAATATGAGCATAAAGACAGAACTTACAAAATGGGAAATGGAAGAAACAATTAAGTGGGATGGCATCAAATTAAATAGCAAAGGGAATATGAGCATAAAGACAGAACTTACAAAATGGGAAAAAACCTTGGCTAGCTACTTTTCTGACAGAGGATTAATATCCTAAATATGTAAAGAGCTCAAAAAAACAAAAACCCAATCAGTAAATGGGCAAATAAACTAAAAAGACACTTCTCAAAAGAAGAAATACAAATGACTAACAAATATAGGAAAAAAATTCAACATCTTTAGCAACTGGGGGAATACAAACCAAAAAAACTACACTAAGATTTAGAATGGCATCCCTCAAAAATACAAACAACTAGTTAATGCTGGGGAAAATGGAACACTTTTATACTGTTGATGGGATTGTAAATTAGTACAACCAGGATAGAAATCGGTATGAAGGTTCCTCAAAACACTAGACATGGAAATTCCACACTCCTCAGTATTTATCCCCAAGAATTAAAGTCAGTGTGGTATAGTGATACGTGCATACCCATGTTTACAGAGGCACAGTTCACACTAGACAAACTATGGAACTAGCCTGTCAGCAGATGAATGGATACAGAAAACGTAGTACACACAATGGAGTTTTCTTCAGCCATAAAGAAGAAATTATGACATTTTCAGGAAAATGGATGAAACTTGAGTATATTAAGTGAAAAAACCTGGACTCAACAAGTAAGCAGTGGTATGTTGTTTTTTGTTTCTCATGTGAAGGCTAGAGGGAAAAACAGACAGAAAAGAAGCAAAAAAGGGTGGTAGTAGTGGGAATCTCATGAAAATAGAATGAAAACTAGTAGAATAGAAGGAGGGAACCAGGGGAAAGCAATGAGGGGAGGAAAAGGACAGGGAATGAAATTGAAAAAATTACATTGTTATATTATGTGCATATGCAAATATGTACAAATGCATTCTACTATCATATGTAATTATAATGCATCAATAAAAAGACAAAACAAGGGGAAAGAGAAAATATATGAAGACAAAAGATTCAACAGAACACCCAACAGAACACCGAAATACACATAAAAATGAACTGCACATGCATCTGTTCAGTTTCGTATAAAATGTCAGTTCTTGACTTAGACACAACAAAAAACAGGGCTAGTACATTGAAACCATAAATGGAAAAAGTACACAAAAAGAATAAAAATACAGAAAATAGTGTGAGACATTGAAACAGTGAAAAGTTTAAAAACAAGTGTGACTGTACTCTCAGAAGCATCTAAGAAGAAAATAAGGCAGAAGCTATACTTGAAAAAAATGAATGCTCCAAATCTGATGAAAGATAACATTCCACAGACCAAAAATAAAGAAGTCTCAGTTTTTATCCTGCTAAAGATTGCTTCCTTGTTAACACTCTAGTAAAATGACAGTCAAGTATTTTAAAATAAACATTGGGGTGGCCGGGGGAGGGGGAGGGACGGTAAGGAAAATGAGAGAAAAGACATCAGCAGAAAGACAGATTGGTTCAAATTCTTTTTAAAAAGTGATTTGTCCTGCATGAGCCCCACCATTGATTGATTAACCCCACCCACCACCAGCAACAACCCTTGCAGAAGACTCATGGCATAGAGACCAGAGACAGAAGACTAGAAGTTTACATGCATTTTACTGACAATGAGGATTAATTGATAGTTTATATATGGAATATTCAGATTTCTCATCCTTCTTTCTTTCCTGGCCTCCCAAACAGACAAGAACAGAGAGGTTCTAGGAAGAAAAGGGAAATCTTGGAGGATTCTGATCTGCCTACCGGAATCTCTCAGTCAGTGAAAGGTCACAGGCTTTTGACTTCAGTAGACATCATGACTGAAGAGTTGTACACCACACACAGAGCTTTCCATGAGCCTGTTAGAGAGTAGCCAGCCAAGAACCACTAGACAGCTGGGAAAAGCTAATATGAAAAACAAAATAAGCCAACAAACAAGATAAACAAACTGGAAGAAACGGATGCTTTTCAAGAACACTCAAAATTTTTAAGAAAACTTGAATTTTTTCATAATTATCAAGTGAGAGATGAGATCTTTTTTATACCTATGAAATAAGAGAATGCTTTAAAAAAAAAACTAGAGGGAAAAAAAAAGAGCTCTCAGAAAGTAAAATGACAGCATTGAAATTGAAATAAAAACTAGGGGAAATTTTTTTAAAAATAAAAAGAGGAGAGAAAATACAAGTGAAAAATCAAAAAGGCAACAGCCCCACCCCTCCACCCCCCCCAAAAAAAAAAAGTTCTAGAAAGAAAATAGTGAAATAGAAGAGAATTCATCAAGGAAAAATTTCAAGAAACTTTCCCAAAACTAAAGACCTGAGTTCCCAGAGTGAAAGGAGCCACTGAGCAACCAGTGCTACAGATGAATATAGACCTCAGGATGGCACATGAGCATGACATTTCAGAACCTAGAGACAAAAATGATCACAGATGGTAGATTTCCATCAATCTTTTAACAGAAAAAACTGACGGTAAAGACAATGGAATTCCACGTTACAGTTCTTTGTAAGAGGAATTCTCCCAAGTAGTCAAACCAAGTATGCAAATAGTAAAATACTTTTAGATGTATAAATTCTTCTAAATTTCTCTCTCTCTCTAATCGAAATATTGGAAGATTTACTCCAAAATGAAGGACAACATCAGCAACACGGAACCCAGCATCAGAAGAAATAAAGGGAATTTTCATAGTGATGAAGACCCAAAAAGGATGTGCAATGGGCTTTCAAGGGGCTCGTCCAGTGAGACAGCTCTAAGATGAGTTAAGTAGAGATTAATAGACTACCTAGTGGATATGAATATATTGAGAAAAAATTTGCACTGGGGGAAGGCTTACAGATTGCGCTCCAATTCTAGGGAAAATAAATGCAGTCATGATATATGTCACATATGTGAAGAACATTTACATATGCATAACAACATAAACACTAAGTACAGATAGAACCAAAATAAAAATGCAACTATTTGGGGGAAATGAGAAGATGGAAAGTGTGCACAGTGGTGGAGAGATTGGAAAAAAAAAGAGCTTCATCTTCTATTTGAAAAGTCAATAACTCCTCAAAAGTTCAACAGGAAGTACTATAACATGATAATTCAAAGACATGGAGGCCCAAAAGATTACTGTCTCTGGAGAAGAAAAACTGGGGACTATAGTTGTATATTGGAATAGTTTTTTCATAACAAGTATGTCCCACAGAATGATGAGATCTTATTTACCTGCATAACTTTGATAATATTAAACCTAAATTTAAGAACCTACTGTGAATTACACAGATTTTTTTTTTTAAAAAAAAGCCTTGAAATCAAATTGAAAAAATAACTTGTAGAACACTCATATGCAAGTCACTATCTAGGTCCTAGGAGAATGCAAAAGTCAACAAGGAACATCTTTCTCCGTTCAACAAGAGAAGATACTTCCAGGGTGTGTGGGTATGCAATTGAGTTATGAGTCCATAGACCTGATACCCTAACCCCAAAAGATCAATAAACCATGGCCAATAGTTCC